CAGTCGTGTAGAAAAACTCACTCGATATAACACTATAGCGACCCCACACTCAACTCTAGTTGAGAAACCTTCCACCCTTTCAATTTTTTTGGTGTGTCCAAAGGCTTTTATATTTTAAATCTCTTTAGTGAAAATCCTGATTATGTGACGTATTGTTAATAAAACACTTAGGAATTGTTTGATAAAGTGTATTAAGAGAAATAACATAATACATGAATTAACCTTGTGTATTACTAGTACCTTGTTTGGTACTCTTTTCTAATCTACGTATAATTGACTAATCCTAGTTATACACTCTATTGTGTGTTAAGGTCTGTATTGTTAATACCATGAATTTCTATGTATTAGCAATGCAATGATTTTAATGATTAAAGACTCAATTGTCCATTAAAACCTCTTTTTACATCTTTTCCACTATAATAGTATGGAGGATATCTTTGTAAATAATTTTTTTAATGCATTGCATATTACTTATAATGTATCAAAAATCAAACAATGCATAAAAATAATCTATATATAATTAATACAAATATAACTAAAACAAGCACAACTAATACAAACATTTCTAATACACTCTACCAAACAGACCCCTCGGGTTTTCAAACATATCTCTACTTTTTCATAGTTTATTTATTTTCATTTATTTATGCATTTGTTATACTCAAGTACAATCTTTTACTCAAGGGTCCAAAGTCACGAGAAGTTCTATAAAAAGCAATTGCTAAGTACCAAATACACTTGAAAAAGTGAGAAGTCAAAAAGTTTGAGGAAAGCAATAATAAGATTTACTTCAAGTCTTTGATCCTCCAATGAAACATCATCTTGAAGTATCAAATGAAAATGAAGATAAATCATCATCATCATCACAACAAGATGATGATGATGATGAAAATAAAGATGAATTTTTTCAAGAAATCCTCCAAAGTGATTACCAACATATGCAACAATGGCCTAATTATTTCACACCCCCTAGTTCAACTTTAGTCCCAAAAAAACAAAACAACACACAATGTCCAAGTCACAAAGAGGAAACCAAGAAAGTATCACTAAAAAGGAAGCCAAAGAGGGCTAAACAAGATGTTATGGAAGTCCATGGAAGCCGCATTGTCCGAGCCACGGGGAGGAAAGACAGGCACAGCAAGGTTTCAACAGCCACAGGTCCGAAGGACAGGCGTGTTAGGCTCTCTCCTAACACGGCAATTCAGTTCTATGACGTGCAAGATCGTCTTGGCTATGACCGTCCTAGTAAGGCTATCGATTGGTTGATTAAAGAAGCTCAAAGAGCTATCAATGCACTTGAAAAAGCTCCATTTCAAGTGTTTTCCAATAAGATTAACTCGACAAATAAAGCACTGAATGTCCGAAATGTGGAAAATGAAGTAGGCCAATTTGCTCTTGAACAGAGTTGGTCTGCTGATAAGAAAACGGAGTTAGAAGAGTTGGCTCGCCGTTCTTCGAAACTTAATGCCACAGTGCAGTATTCAACTGATCAATTTCCAGAGGGATGCTATAAAGAACAGAGTTCAAAAGTTTGTCAAGCAAATGCCACCCAAATTGTAAATTCTTCAGCAAATGGTTCCAAGATTCAATCTTTTTGTCAAATTCAGACTCACCCACAAGCCCATTTACACTCACAAACCAAAAGACAATCACCAAATGATGCCAAGATTCAATCTTTTTGTGAATACCAGACTCACCCACAAAGCCATTTTCACTCACAAACCAAAAAACAGTCACCAAATGTTGCCAAGACTCTATCTTTTTGTGAAATGCAGACTCCCTCACAAGGCCATTTTCACTCACAAACCAAAAACCAACCAACTAATGATGCCAAGATTCAATCTTTTTGTCAATTGCAGACTCACCCACAAAGCCATTTTCAGTCAGAAACAAAAAACCAATCACCAAATGTTGCCAAGATTCAATCTTTTGGTGAATTGCAGACTACCCCACAAAGCCATTTTCACTCACAAACCCAAAAACAATCAACTAATGATGCCAAGATTCAATCTTTTTGTGAATTGCAGACTCACCCACAAGGCCATTTTCACTCAGAAACCAAAAACCAATCACCAAATGTTGCCAAGGTTCAATCTTTTTGTGAATTGCAGACTCACCCACAAAGCCATTTTCAGTCAGAAACCAAAAAACAATCACCAAATGTTGCCAAGATTCAATCTTTTTGTGAATTGCAGACTCCCCCACTAAGCCATTTTCAGTCAGAAACCAAAAACCAATCAACTCAATTAGGCAATTTTTTCAGTTTTCAATCATGTCATCAAAATGAACCCATCAGTTTTTCTGGTGATCATCATCATGGTTTTAGCTTTTCACCACAAAATTTCCCTACAGTTTTAGGCCAAAACCAAATGTTCAATTATCAGAGGGAACCCCTTCAGTCCACTTCTAATTTTCCTCAAACTATATCTTATTCCAATAATATTGGATTTGCAAATGATGGCTTATTGGGACTTAGTTCTGCTCCAATAACACAACAACAACAACAACAAGATGAACAGGGTTCAATTTCAACTACTCTTCTACATTATCAAGATTAGTTTTTTTTTTTTCCATCAAGTCCTTTTTACAGCTGAAATATTTATGAGTTAGATGCATTGATGTATAATTCTTGTTATAGAAATGGAAAAAAAAAATTCTTAATTCCAATATTGGAGTAACGGTAAATTTAGTTTTATGTGACTTATAAACCAATAGATTACTCGTTTGAGACATGAAATCAATCACTAATATTTGAATCATGACTGTGTATGTTACACTTTTGAGGTGCGATCTTTTACTAAATCCTTTTATAAATGCATGATACTTTACTTTTTGAATTTGTTTCCTTTTATTTTTTTTCACTTTGTCTAGAAAGAATTTAGTTATCATTTCCTTATATGAATTTAAATAATTGTTTTACGAGCTAGCATTTGAAGTTGAACTATAAATGTTGTATATTTATTAATTATATTATACATAATATAATATAAGGAATTTCGAAATTTATTTTAGATAGTTCATAACTAGACAATAAATTTCTTATGGAATTTGTGGGGAATGTGGGAATTCTCATGGTGCTGTTGTTGCTAGACTTGGCTTTGGATTTTGATTTGATTGCAGGCATACTAGCAGGGCTTGACTAGAATCGTAGAAAGAAGCCGGGGAGAAAGATTTAAGTGTAAGCATTGAGTCAAACTGATTCAGGTATAGTAAGATAGTTCTTGTCTGTATATTTTCTTATAAATAGAAAGTTGAGTCTTCATGTGATTTGAGACTATGTTTGAGTTTAACGAAATCGTAATTATTTGAGGCACCACTATTTCGATTATCTATTTTATTTCGGGAGGAAATAATTCAACATTTCAAATACAATAAGGGAATTAGATTACGTAAGAACACACATTGAATTTTTTAATCTCATATATTTTTCTTTAAAAGTTTTTATTTTGCGATTTCCATTTTATTTTAATTTTTTTATTTACTAAATTGAACAAGTATTCTCTTCGTAAGAACATTCTGATATATTCTATATATTTTTAGTTCTAAATCATAAATTTTTAAAAAAAAAATTAAAATAACATGTCAAAGTAAAAATCGGATAAATAAATTAAAACGATAGAAATCAGAAAGAATTGGCTCTGCTAAACCTGAGGCTGACACCATGTGAGCCTATGGAATTGTGATTTTTCATATGTATAAGTTCCATCTAGCAATGATGACTACAAGAAGTAGCTTTTCATTCATGTGGGCAACTCTATTTTGGTGGATATTAAATAAAGGATTTCCCCCAAAAATAGAAAAAAATAAGTTTCTTAAAAAATACGTGAGACGATTCGGAGTATAAAGATCAAAATTATTTTTCATAAAAAAATTAGCAAAAATATTTAGTTTTTTCTGAAATAATGACTTTGAAATTCGAATTCGATAAAAATATTGAGATCTTCTTTCAAGAATTTAATTTTTTAGGGTTATTAAGTTTAGTTGGAAGTTGACTAAGCTAAGAAGGTATGAACAAAGTAAGCATGTCTCAATGAATTGTTTTTTTACTCTTAAAAATAACTATAAATTATATAATAATTTACATTCAAATATTTAAAAAGGACCAAAAAAGTTGTTACTCTAAATAATAATTATTGAATCACATAAAGTGGATAGTAGGAGTAGTTAATAAACAACCCTAGCTAGGGCTTCCTCTTTTGGTTTGGTTACAATGATTGATTGTCATATGGAGGTTACATATTTATTATAAGCATGCTCACATTATATACTTTTTGCACTATTCATCAACAGTCAAAATATTTACTTCACTTTTATTGTATGAGGATTTTTTGTCCATTGTTTTTGTTTTTCATTTTTTACAAAATCTTTTATTGAAAAAGACAAGACATTAGTGTCTAGTTTAAATTGTTTCGTATCGAAAATAATTTTAGTAACTCAGTTGATTGACTATCTGGACTTTCATTTTGTTGGTAAGGATTCAGTTTCCCACCTCTAGTGAGCATTGGATAGAGGCGGATATGTTCCGAAACATACTTTTCCTTTTAGTCCATACTAAGAAAATGTCATATTTTTATCGAACGTAACTCACTACCCACCTAGTTGTTCACATAATTCATTTTACATGATACTTTAATAGTTCATTTTTCATGTCTCTAATAATCGAAACTTTAAAAAATTTAGAACCGTCACCTAAAAAATATGATGATGCTTTGTGATTTTTATATGAAGATGAAGAGGAATGATATAGAGGTTTTTATTATTTCTAAATTCATTTGGTTTAACTTTGAGAATGCAATCTAGAATGTACACCTCTTAAAGATACCTAGATATGCGTTTTTGAAGTTAAGGTGTCTGCGAGACACACGTGTGTCAAGTTGAAGCGTCTAGATGGTTATAATGAAAGTCAAAGTGTTCAACCGCGGTGAAGACCAAATTAAAGCGTCGATTTATGTATTTTGTATATGAAAACCAACATGGGATACACATAACCAAAAATAAAGTATCACCAAGCAATAAGATGTTACTATAACCAAAAACACTCTGCAATATCTTTTACATTTTGTACAAAAAACAGAAGTTCTGAGCAAAAAAATTGGCAACAAACACACTAAAAAGGAACACTCAAGCTTGAATATTCTGAGATATGAACCTATAAACAGATATACTTTATCTATACACATTATAACCAATGAAAAACTTTTTTTTTTCTTTCATATACATAAGCTTTGAATAGCTCGGAAATTTAAACGAAAAACTGGCAAACTTCACTTCACTTTTCAGAAACATATCCAACTTCAAGTTTTTCAGCATCATTTGATCTTCATCGGAACTGTAGAAACGCGTCATCTTGCTTTCAATAGCTTCTAAGATGCCACTTCCTGTTTGTCAATGCTTGTTTCAACTTTGTTTATCCCTTTCAGTGCAGTTAGTTTATCAGCTGCTTCGTATGATAGCTTTCGAGGCTTCATAGCACGTTTCCGATTGGCAGAAGTTGATTTAACAGAAACTGGTGTTTTTGTTGTTTGAGTTTTATAACTTTTAGGAGTCTTGCTTGCTGTTCTATTGGCAATTTTTGGACTTGATTGAACAGGGATTCGGCTTTCCCATGGTCGAGCAGCGATCCAGCGATCTTTCCAGCTCCAGCCCCAATTAGCTTTGCCTAAATCATGGATACTTGATCCAAACATTGGGTTGGAATTGGCTCTCCACTGTGACATAATGTTCCAAACAATGATGATTCTTGTTCTGAAATGAACAATGTAAATACTATATAACCTAGAGAATCATATAAAAACGAACATACCTGATGAGAAAATGCATATGCCATAGTTCTTTCCCGCTTCACTGCTGCTGCTTCTCTCTGATGTATCCTTGATAGAACCACTTCCATTGTTTCAGGGCCACCATTCCACTCTACCTGTCAGCCATTGGCTCATGTTAGAGAAGTAATACTGCATAATGCAGGGCCGAAAAACTTGTGAAGTTAAGCCTATGTTGCTCGGACTCTTCAAAGAGTATCAACTGCTACATGTCGGATCCTCCAATAGTGAAACATTTTAAGGATCTGACACAGGTGCAGCAACATTTTTGGAAAGTCCCAATAACATGGAGGTAAACTATCTCAAATATTAGAAACATTTGAGTGGAACGTCTAATTAGCATTAGTTGAAACCCACCTCTTCCACTACGGAGCTTTTTGTTTTCCAACCCACCCCATAGGAGGATCAATAGTGTTCCCACTGGCCACTTACAGTCCAGTGACCATGGACTTTTTAATGGTCTTGGAACACTTACTAAATTTACATGTGAAATTGTGAAAGTTTGTGGCTTTCCTTCGCTACTTAATAACTTATAATTGCAGTACCATTCCTAATATACTTTGTAATAATTAGTTTTTTTCAAGTGATTTTGGGGGAATCACTTTAAGCTTAGCCAGAAACAACAGAACTCCGTTGCAACAATAAATTTGCAACCTTGACCAAGGATGACGTTAAGGCACAACTGCTGTTCATGTGTTTTAGAATGTTCATTTGGTGTTAATCTAATCCATAATGGAAATGGGAAGATGCATAAAAATCATATATCTAAGCTTCTACAAGTTATTGTGCACGAAGAAGCTTCTTTGCGAAATAACAGCTCCTATAAGGAAATGAATTATCATTCGATAAGGATTTCTCATAGTTGGCGCTGCCGCCCATGCAGCTATTTTTATGTTAATGGATTATGATTCAACCAGATCTCTGATACACTGCTTCAAATATATCGTTATTGTCATACAAATACTACTTAGTCTGTTTCCCACGTATCGTCATATGAGACAGATTAATCACAGGTGACTGTGTAGTCAACTCCAGACAAGGTTTAGATTTCAGAACATGGAAGTAGTTCAAAATGATCCTACTCATAACTAATATATCCTAGACAGTGGAAACTTTTCTTCTTTTTTTCATTGTTTATGACAGACGCATTGGTAAGTTTTGGACCAAACTATTAACAGGGGGCATTTCTATATAATTTTGCAATAGCGCAAGGATATTTTTTACCCTTTTCTGAAAAATATAAATAAAAGAAAAACTAGTATATGAGAGCAAAAAAGATGCTAACATATAAAGATATGAAGGCTTCATATCCTATGGAAAATCTAGTATAAAAAACCAGTCAAGAGCAGAAGAAAATGGCTAAGTGTAACCTCTAAGTTATGAAGCTTTGCCTCTAGCTTCAACTGATTCTCCAGTTTCTTCTGCTTAAGACGTCCTTCTATGACCATACGAACTCGACAAGCTCTAATCTCAGCTTGTATCCTGTTCCATGAATGGAGAGCGCTCAAGGTTGTCGAAGCTTGTTTTTTCACAGAAGGGCCTTGTATCATCGAACGTAACCTTGATATCCGTTTCAAGCGACGCAAAGTTTTCCTTGCCTGGAAAAGGAGAAAACACATATTCAACCTACAGAAAGAGTTGTAGCAATTTCTTTGGATAACTGTAGGTAAACAAGTTTGAGGCACTCATGATCATTATGGAATTAACCGTTATGCTACCATATATGCACGGAAAGCTGTCTGAATCCTTATGGCTGCGTTATCTTCAGAAGGAATTCCCATTTCTCTGTGCTTTTTGACAGAGGCACCATTTGTTCTTCTTGAAGGCTCTTTCTGAGAGTGTTCATCCTCCTTGCGTCCAATAGAAGTTCCCTGTCTCAAGAAAAACTATGAATCTGATTGATCTTGTCTAGTACTGGAGAAGAAAGCAACTCATGAAAATAACTGAAGGAATGGACTATAATAGAATCATGGTGTATGAGAGGGTACCCGTTAATAATTTCACTTCCCGTCTTAAAAATACTTATTTATTTAAGCGACATACATAACTCTTTCAACCTTCTAGTCAAGCTACATGACACACACAGGAATTAATAACAAGCAACATTGTAAGAATCAATCTGAGTCCTGAGAGAGCAAACGAAACCTTTAAACAAACTACTCCCTCCGTTTCAATTCGATTGTCTAGTTTTGACTTGTCACGGAATTTAAGAAAGTAAAGAAAACCTCTGAACTTGTGGTCCTAAACTGAAAGATATGTTGAACATACCGAAATGCCTTTTAATTTTGTGGTCTTAAACATGTCAGGTGGAAAGTTAGAACTAAGAGTTGCCAAAAAAGGAAAGAGACATACTTTCTGAAAAATGAGAGTAAAACAAACAAATTGAAACATAGGGAGTATTATTTGTCAGCTGCCTTTACTTCCTTGTTCATAATTGATTGTACCTATCATATTATGTAAATCTCAACGTTGAGTGTGGAAATTAAGATATTTCAATGATCCACAGCTTCTAAAATCCATAAGGTAAAGAAAAATCGTTGATATAATAAGTCCTTGGGAGGCTTACCTTTAATCTTTTCGATCTGCCATCTTTTGCTTTTCTCAAACTGATTACCTTTTTAAGCCAGTATCCAGAACCCATTGCAGATGCTTGTTATATATATGTTTTACCCTGCAGGACAGAACAAAATGAAAAAGAAAAGAGCATCAGTTATGAAGTTCTCTACTTTTCATATTCCACGTCTAATACATACGTGAATCCGAGGATGGAAGAAATGAAGATATTTTAAATGGTTGTGCATCAAGAAGGAAGATTTTGGGACTTATAAATACAATTATTATAGAAGGAAATGTGGCTTCAACCGAAAAACTGAAAATAAGAAGGCGTTGGCTTACTCACGGTTTGCATGGATTTCTTTTCTTCTTAACTTTGGTAAGTGGGAGATTTAGGAGGACTACACTCTCTCAAGGGAAGTACAAACGGAGCGATATAATGAGGATTCGCAGAGGCAACCACGCCTAACTTAGAATCCAGGTGTTGTTTTTCAACCACTATGCAGAACAACCAAAGTCAAAGTCTGCAATAAAATCTGCCAGCCTATCACATGTTATATTATAGGGAACTTTTCTAATAACAGCAAGATATATGTGCTTTATTAATACTTAAAGTGCAATTAAACTACAGCTCATGGGGAATAAACAATCAGTGAGTGCAAGTGATGCAATGATTTAGTGGGCCAAAGAAGTAAGAAGAATTATTCCAAAACCTTAAAATAGACACATGCATTCAGACAACCTAACGAGTTTCAATTATAGACTACATAACACATTCACGAAAAGAATACTTAAAAATCCGATACCTCATACCTTCCAGCTAGTCATCACAAAAGTATGTACTTAAAACGTTACCTACTGCTTAATGAAGCTTTGTGCTAGCAACTAGCAGTCTTCTTCTTATGTGATGAATACGCAAGAAGATTTTTTCGGAACAATGACTATCAACCAAATGGAACGATAATTGTCCAATACAGTAGTAGAAATCGCCTCATAAACAAAGAACTCCACATCCTAGGCACAAAACTCCTTGTAGGTCAAACTTATATATGTAGCAATGTCTAACTAACTCAGACCTATTTGTAATTTTGTTTAGAATTAATTATTCCCTTGCCAATCATAGATGCCATAAGGTGTTCTAAACAAATTGATCAAGCATTACTTAATAGATGTTTATGGTCTAAATTGCATTCCTCCATATATCAATAGGGGTACACTCCGACAAGACAGTGAGCCTAAACAGAGGCCGATCCAGGACATGAGTATCATTGATCCACTACACTCACTACTCTTTTAGGATAATGAGCCAGAATTAGCATAAACATATAATTAACAAATTTCTTAACACAAACACACACACAAACATGTAATAAAATTCAATCGAATCATGGCGCACCTCCGCCCCCCACTCCCCGACCCCCAATTACTAACCATGTGAACCGGCCCCTATGTCTAAAATAAAACAGACAGGTTGCAGGAAGATCATTGCAGATGAACTGCAGCACTTAACGCATAACCAGGGGCAGGGCAAGAAGCCAACATACACATTCGGCCAAACCTAATAGCTTTAGCTCAAACCTTGTATTATATTAAGAAAATTAATCAAATATTTAAAGAATTAAAATTCAGAACCCAGTTACTAACATTTGATATCATTATCCTAGAATTTAGAACCCATAAAGTTCAAATCCTGACTCCACCTCTAGCCCTCTTAACTATACTAGTAGGTTAAAGAAAAAACACCCAGAGCAGCCAAATCAAAGCCCTTATTCGCTTCTAGTTTCAGTAAGGAAGCAATAGCACAGAGCTAACAATCCAATGAGCTAAACACTGCTGTTGACTTCTTTCCCACATCAACACACACACATCCTCATTTCTCCTTATAAATTTTGCTCAAATAAAAAGTACCTAGATACATATTTACACCAGAGAGTAACAAGAACACAATAAAAATGTAATATTGAAACTTTGAACATATGAAACAAATTGTGGACAAAAATTTTTGGTCAAACAACGAGAACCCCAGATACATATTTACACCATAGAGTAACAAGAACACATAAAAATGCAATCTTGATACCTTAAACATTAAAAAACAAATTGTGGACAAAAAATTTTGAACAAATTAAGAGTACCCACGTACATATTTACACCATAGAGTAACAAGAACACATAAAAATGTAATCTTGAAACTTTAAACATAAGAAACAAATTGTTGAGAAAAAATTGGGTCAAACAAAGAGTACCCCAGATACATATTTACACCAGACACTAACAAGAACACAATAAAAATGCAATCTTGGAACTTTAAACATAGGAAATAAACTGTGGACAAAAAATTTTGGTCAAACAAAGAGTACCCCAGATACATATTAACATCATAGAGTAACAAGAACACATAAAAATGTAATCTTGAAAACTTTGAACATAAAAAATAATTAAATTGTGGGTACAAGATCATACCACAGTAGTAGCAAAAGCCCTTGCTAGCAAAAGGGTATACTTGAAAACACACAGAAAAAAAAAAGAATAGTAATGACAGTAATAGAATAGCAAAATAGTATGAGTTATTGAGAAGAAATAATGTGAGGAATGTAAAAGCAAAAAAGCAAAAAAAGCAAAAGGATAGGTATTATACCTTTGTCATTTGTGTGAAAAAATATGTGGAATGGCCATGGCCTTTCAAGCTTCAGCTTGACAACAACAGCAGAGGATTTTTTGCTTTTTTTCACAAAAGGAGTTCAACTAACAAAGAACTATAGAATACAACAGCTTGTTTAGATGGTTATTAAATACAATGTCTATTTTATTCGACAATCAATTTGGTGTAATCGCATATGTTATTATTTGTTCAAAAAATATTGTGTTGGTGTAAACTAAGTTAAAATTTATAAGATATGATTAAAGGCAAGTAAATTAGGTTTGATCGAAATTTGAATTGGAATGAAATTTAAGGAAAAAAACTAATCATGTGGTTTTAAATTAAAGTTCTATTAAATGTATTAAAATATTTTTTTTAATTTTATGACCGTAAATATGTCATGTAAAAAATTAAAGTTAAAGTGTTGCTAAAAAGAAAAAAAAATCACTCTTTTTAAAAGAGACTAAAAAGAAAATAAGGTCCTCTTTAAATTTTAAACGGAGAAAGTATATTTAAGAGTGAAAATAAAAAATTTTAATTAAATATCGAAATTTGAAGATAAAATGTGAAGAGCAATTATCCATTTTGAACTTTGAGATAACTTGTTAAAACTTAAAAGGCGAAGAAGTTAGAGATATCTATTCGCGTTTATTTATAAGTCAGGATCTCTTAAATAAACGTACAAAAATTTTGGTTTAGATTCAATGCAAAGACACAAATTTTATGAAAGGTGTCTAAATACTTATAAGGTGAATATGCTCTTTTTGTTACTAGTGAAATTCAAACACACGCTTTAAGTTTGTACATTTTTACTCTTTTAAGGTGTCAAAACAATTAAGCTACATCATATTATCGTATTAAAAGTATCTAAAATATTATTATTTATCTATTTTATTTATTATTATACTTATATATACGATATAATTTTGAACGAAAAGTATCTGAACACTATAAAAGGGTAGCTAAGCCCTTCTCATCTTACCCTTATCTATTGTTCAATAATATATTATATCCTTTCAATATAGTTATCTTTTTAATATTAATTCCATCTATATATTTAGATCTCTATTATTAATATTTTCCTATTTTTAATTTGCGAAATCAATCACTTATATTATGTTATATTATATTTTTTTTATAATAATATTTTATTATAAAAACAGAAAAATATCAAAACAGACCATATCATTATATTAAGATTATATTTAATTAAACTCTTATCAATTCTCAAATCTCGATCGAATCTTTAATTTATTATGTATTCAAGTCAATAATACACAGCTACAACGACTGCTGAACCAACTCTTGTGATGCGGCTTTATGTCATTGTTTTCCTAAAATTTTTGCTTTCGTTTATCAATTTATGTGCTATAATTTAATTATATATAAAAGTTTCATACAAAAATAATAATTTTTGATTTTTATAATCTTAAATATGTTTTAATATAATTTCTGATAGTTATGATTTCTTTTAAATGGGTAAGTTATGATCTTAAACATGTTGTATTATTTACTTACTTATAAGAGATACTTATTAAAGATGAAATAAAAAATTAAAGTTAATTACTTCAAATATAAAAAGCTTTCACACGTAGCAAATAAATTTTTTTTATTTATATGCTATAGCAAAGTTTGCATAATTGCGCTCCATAGCAAATATAGAAACTGTATAATTCGCTATACATATACAGTTGAAGTAAATTGTATAAAACGAAAAAGAGAAAGACACTTGGGCAGAGAATTGTATAAATGAAGTGTATAAAACGAATTGTATGATTATAAGTGTATAGAACGATTATATACAATTTGAATTTGTATAACAGAGAAAGACAAAAGAGATTTGACAAGGAATATACAATTGAATCGAATTGTATAAAACAAGAAAGAGAGAAATTAGATACAATTTGAAAATTGTATAAAACGAGAAAGAGAAACTAGGCAGGGGAGTATTTTTATCGTATAATTATAAGTGTATAGGACGAAAATATATGTACTTGCATGTGTATATACAATTTTCTCACGCTTTATATAAACAGAAATGCAATTTATACATTTCGCTTCTGTTTGTATAAGTGAGAAAGGCGAGGGTGGCGAGCGAAATTTGGGAGAGTGACGAGCGAGATCTGGAAGAGGGGGGAGAGGGGAACAAAAATATATGTATTTATACAATTTTCTCTGCTTTATACAATTAAAAACAATTTTTGTACACTTGTATTTGTATAAAAAGTAAGGAAGCGAGCGAGAGATTGGAGGAGAGTGGCGCCTGACAATTTTTTGCAAACGTTTTCTATAGAGCACAATTAAATCAAACTCTAGCTACTCTATTTATTTTAGGTTATTAATTTGCTATTATATACAATTTTTCTACAATAATATAGTATTCTTTTTAAAACTAATTAGTAAAATACAGTAACACGTAAATTATAACGAGGAAAATAAAAGATTTGCAGAAAATGATTTTATCTCATGCCACTTAGTGTAATATAATTAATACAATGGTTGCTTAAGAACTCAAAAGAGGTGCTATTAATGTGGAATAATAAGAATATGTACAATAAATTGATTATTCAAAGACATACATCTTTCTAAAATAATATTATTTTAATGTAATTTATCGATCACTAATTTCAAACACTAAAAATAATTATTTATATTTATATTCGAATAAATTATCTTAACCATTTCCCTTAAGGTGTAACCCTTTCTCAAACCTCACTAATATAGAATATTTTGTGTATAATTAAATTGCCCTTTTATATATAACAACATTTTTCATTATTAATCATCACATAACCCTTTCATTATTATCAAACACCACATAAATGATCTTTACATTATAATGTAACATAATTATTAGTGTTTAAACTAACTAAACCACAAGGTGTAAAGTCTCAATCCCACCAAATGATCTTTTATTTATGAGCCCACTTTACTCTTTTAAAAGTCATACTATCAAAAAAAAAAAATTTAGAAAATTCCCAAGTATTAAAAAGTCAAAAAGTATAATTAATCAAATTGAAACTTTTAAGCCAACTCTCATTTTTCAAACAATTGATATCAACCACAAAGCCAAAGTAGGATTTAAAAAATGAAGAGAAATTATAAGAGGACAAAAGCTTATTCACAATACTTATATCAAATTATAATAACATAAATATATGATATTATTTGCACGTATACTTTTATCACTTAATTATGAACAATTAATGTATATTTTCATTTTATTAAACTACTTTATCATATGATAAATTAAATTAATTTGATATGATTTGATTTACTTCATTAAGTAGCAACTTAATAGGGTGATTATATTATATTATTCCACTCATATAATAACAATGCTAACAATCATAATAAAGCACAAAAATTGGGTGATGATAACAATTCAACACACGTGCTAGGAAATTACAAAGAATTATATCGTATATATAATAAGTATAATAATAAATAAAATAGTAAAAGAAAAAAGTGAAGTAATTTTAGCTTTTGAAATCTTAATTTAAGTACATATTGTCGCTTTTATATTAATTTTAAAGTATTTTTCAAATTAAATAGTTTGTTCAAAAAAAAAATAAAGTACACCTGATTTGCCTTAACGATACTCCCCTCTCCCCCCGTTTCTTGTAAAGCTAATAATAGCCCCAAAATATCTATACTAAAATCTTAGTATTCAATTTCATGAAGTCTATTTTACAAAAGTGAAGTTCCCTAAATAATAGCTAATTTTATTTAATTTTTTCTTGAAAAGTATTTTCTTATATTATCTTTTTAAT